GCCAGGATTTGAACCTGGGACCTCAGGCTTACCACGCGAGTGCTTTGCTCTGTCGGCCATTGTGACTGCTGGAGCGTCGCGAGCAAAAAGGCACACTTATGCTTTTCACGGGGCATGAATTGGCAGACTATCTCATCAACTGTTATAATGCTACTAGTATTTATACTAGTAGATGCTGATGCATAGCCTGACAATTGACATCTCGTAGGACATCGCAATGTTAAAAATACCAGTCGCTAACATTGAAAAAGGATAGAACGTGAACTAGTTCGGCTGAAACGCAAACCAGTAGAATTCTAGTTCACAACTAGTAGCTTTCCCTGCAGGGCAGATGCCTATGCACCGTGCTAAGTACGCCTTGTAAATTATCGTTTGCTTTTTTCCACTATTTTCATTTTTTGTTATGCCAACACAATCAAGCGCAGCTATTCCGCTGCAATTCACTTGATCATGTGGTTGTTGGTATTGTTGGTTTTTGCTAATAATTCTATTTTTAGAATGTTTAACTTTTAGGTGTGCTCGTCCTTAAGTTATTTGTTTTTGTTATTTTTTTGGCAGTATAGATTTTAAGAGAAATAAAATTCTCAAAATTTTGGAAAATATAAAAATTTCTAAAATCTCAACAATTTTGTACATTTCAAAATATTCTCATTTTACCAAAATTTCTAGAATCTCCCGGATTTCGATAGTTTTTGAAATTTTGGAAATTATCCTAAAAATAAGAAATCTCAAGAAATTTAATAATATAAAATTCAAAATTTTAGAATTTTCAATGTTTTCTGAACCTGTGAAAATATTCAAACTTGCTGTGACTTTCAACTGTGTAAAATAGTACAAATTCGAAAATATAACAAAAAAAGTAAAAATTGAACATTAAGTACATAATTTCAAAATTTTGAAAATTCAGTAAATTCGAAAAACTGATAGGCTATATATATAGGCTAAATAACATAATACTTCAAACTTAGCACACAGCAAAAATTTCAAACTCAAGTGAAATTTTACAAACTTTTTCCATGAATTAAAATTTTCAAAAGCATCCATTCATTACGTTTGCTCCCCAAGCTTCTCGAAGTCACTTCGAGTTACATATACGCGCTCCGCAAGTAAGTTTTCGAGTTTCTTTGATATACGCTCACAGTTTGAACTTCAAGAATGATAGAATACAAGATTGCGCCAATCGAGCTGAGAGCAACTGGCAGTGACGTCAAAATATACCAGGTAAGGATGCTGATTCAAATTAATAAAAATCAATGTTTCTTGCACAACGGTCGACTTCTTCTGGCATGATTGAAGGTGCTGCACATATTTCATTGTCGCTTATGATTGTCACTGTGCCATGATTTTGTTTAAATTTTTGTAAAATTGCTTAGCACACTTACGATTGCTATAAATTTTGCTTCCATTTTTTTAAGATTTTCTAATTTGAAGTCTTCAAACTAAAAACAAAAGCACCAAAAACGCACCAAGCACAAAACTCAAAAATTTTCGCGTTTTGAATACCCACTAAATTTGGAGCGAAAAGCAACAAGTTGCCAACAGTGAATGTAAACAAAAGTATATTATGACGTCAGCGATTGGGTGAATGCTGTCAAATCGACGAAGAGAGAGTTAGCGGTCCGCGAATGGCGCGACCTTTATTTTCTGGATCGTGTTTGAACTTTGCCCGAGTTTTTTTTACAAGTAGTTTGTGGGCAGTGTTGCCGTTTTGGCTACTTTTAACCAATTTTGGTTATTTTTTCTTGCCTGTGAAGTTGTTAAGATCCTTCCCATTTTGGTTATTTTTAAACATTTACTGTAGTTTTTAATTGTTTAATATTAATTATAAAATATATACAATGTTTTTGTTTACGCTAATTAGGTATTTCATCGATTCTTACAAAGAAGTTGGAAACTGTGTACCTATGTACTTATTTAAAAACGTCATTTAGAATCTGGTGATATTTACGAAGATATTAACATACATATCGTCGTTTAAAGTACAAAACCGCGTATCGTCATTCTGCAAAACCGCGTAACTGACATTGGCTGTCAAAAATTGGATTTGCTCACACAAGCTCTTGGCTCAATCCTCATCCATTCGCCCTGAAACATACTAGCCAGAAATGCGATTGCTTTATAAAAAAGAGAACCATTTTGAAATATGAGTATTTTTACGCTCTAGAAAATAATTTCTACAACTTCACATATGCGGTTTTGCATTTTGCTGATACGCGGTTTTGCATTTTGTTGATCCCCAATTTCCCCTACCTGGGTCCGCCACTGTTAGTATGCAAATGAGAACCATGATAAAAACATAGCAATTCTCTCAATTTATCGGCCATGATTTTTTTTTTAAGTTTGCCAACATTTTAAAATCATATAAAAGGGAAAATAAAAAATTGAAATTGTTGGAAATTGTTGTTGCTTGAGATTGAAAATGAAAATGTGTGTGTGAGTTTGTAAGTAAATTTAAAAATTAAATTGTTTGGAAACGTCAAGAATTTTAAAAGTGACTCTCAGCGGTTCTACCTTACTATATTTTTATCATGATGAGAACTACAATTATGAGCTTATTGAGCATCTCTCGTTCAAAAACAAACGGAGTTTTGCTTGATCAAGTTTCGAATCTAAGAAGAAAATGTTTATAAACAAACAAAAAGTTAATAATAAAATTTGAAGGATTTTAGATATTACGTATGGTAGCATGAAATGTTACGATCTTCTTAATTGTCAGATGGTTGATATGGCGACGTAAGGAGTTCCTTTGACTTCCCAAGGTCCACCCCAGCCCAGAAGGATCTGGCAATTGCGCATGCGGTTATGTTAGTCCAAGAGGGAACGGCAGGAGGACAGAGGCGTTCCTTGTTGCTCCTTATCTGATGATAATATATTAAGGGTGCCTTTTCAACGTCAGCTACGCATTTTCCCGCGATGTCACTATGACCCGATCCCATAACTAGCCTTATTAAGAAATACTCCGATAGAGATATCAGAAATTCCTTTACCGTTTTCGAGCGCACAGTCATAGCTCTCCTTAACTAACGTCACACTCTTTACTACTGAGTCTACCGCTTCCTTGATGGCAGTTATTTCCACCTGAAAGACACTGCAGAAGTCCGGAAGCCTGAACATAGTTTTCTTGGGGAGTTACCGACAGAAGACACCGCACCAACCCTATCTCCAGAAGGAAGAAGTTTACTGCTCCCTTCTTCCAGTAACCCCGCCCTACCCAGTCCACTCTTGAGGGAATGTAGGTAGGAAAGGAGCTTCTGGGAGCCATTTCTGTGGGGCTGTAATGTATGTGTTAAGGGACAAAGTGTTCAGCTTTCGAGCCAGTTAACCACCCGGTTTCCCTGGGCCTAAAGAAGTTCGTGCTGCGACCTTTCTGCCTGAAATATCTGCAAGCGCCGTGTCCAACTGACGTTAAGAGATTAGTTAGTTCCGCCAGAGAAGGGCTCCGTGAAACAAGATAGGCTTAACTCAGGTTTCAAAGAGCCAATGAATTACTTTCGGCGAGAGACCTCACCTATTACCGATAGCTCCCCTACAGCAGTACAAGGCAACCGACGCCTTTATTACCCTTTCCGCAATGTTAAGCTTCCACGACAGCTTCCTATCCAGGATCAAGCCTAAGTACTTGTCAATGTCTGAGAGCTGCAGCCATACACCCCCGATCGAGGGAAGGGCCACAACGGGCATATTGTACTTGCTGGTAAGCAAGACCACTTTCGTTTAGCTGGGTATAACTGTGAGGCCACAGTAGGCCGCCCACCTAATTAAGAAACTGTCCCTTAATCAAAAGTGCCACATCATCTGCATAGGCTATCACCCGATAGCCAACTTTTTCCAGTTCCTCTGGAAGGTTGTTTACAACCGCAATCCAGAGCAGGGAAGGTAGGACACCACATTGCAGAGTGCCCCTATTTACTCTGCGCTGAGTGCAGGCGCTCCCGCATTTTCCATGACAGTTCTGTCACGCAGTAAGCTGTAGATAAGCCTTATTAGGTTGGTTTCAATCCCCATATTATGAATACACTTTACAATGGCATCTCGAGTGACAATGTTGAAGGCCCCTCGATATCGAAGAAGGCGGCCCTACTGCATAATATTTATGCATGAAGGCTTTCTCCACCCACTTTACCAATATATGTAGGCCGGAATCCACATATCTTTCATTGAAAAATGAAGTTGAGCTTTTGAAACACAGTCATGAGGAGTCGCGTTTCTTATGTGTAGGTCTATCAAACTCTCTAGCGTTTTTAGTAAAAACTAAAACAGACTGCTAGGCCTGAAATCGCTAGGGAAAACATGAGAGCCTCTTCCGACCTTAGGTATGAACGCAACCCTGACTACGCTCCAATCCTTGGGATCCATCCAATTGGACGACACCTCCAGAGCCCTTTGCAGCTGCACAGGTATGATGCCATCGGTCAGGCGACGTGAAGGGTTTGAACGAATTTATCGCCTAGGCCATGTGACGATCGTCCAGAATGTCGGAAAAGTACAGGACCTGAAGTATAAAATATTGCAAAGAAGTACATTTGACTGTATTGCGAAGTACGAAGTACAACTTGAAAAAGAAGTACTGTACTCCCGAAAGAAGTACGGTTGGTCATATTATGTATGATGCTTAGAAAGTTATTGACATAGTCCGCTGGCTTAGTCATGTCGTACAAAAGTATTCAACGCGGTACTCGCTGGTGGTAGTAGAGGAAGACCTGATTTTAGACTTTTTATTGCAAAAAGACCAGATGGATAAAGGCTTTGCATTTCTAATTTGCGTCAGGTGGCACAGAAGAAAAACGCCGGGCGTTCTTTCTTGGTATCGTTGCCCAAATCGCTTAAGCGGTTACAGTGTCAAGCAAAATTCGCGTCTTTCATAGAAAGTTTGTTCTACGCAGGATTAAATTAATTAAAAAAAGAAATCGTTTATCCAAATTAGTTTTGAAAAAAAAAAATAATTTTTATTTCTTATTTAAGTAAATTTAAATTTTATTTACATACATTAGCATAAATATGTATGCCTGTTAAAGACCTGTTTAATACCAACGGTTTTATGATTTTTATTTACATATATTTGTATCTCATAAATCTAACGATATAACGTTTAAATAAATATATCTAATATTATCTACCGAGATTTTAAAGCTATTAACACATTTCATCAAAATAGTTTAGAGTTTTAGTACATGCATTCGCACAAAAACTAACTCATCGAAAATTTCATGACCGAGAAGAGTATACAAAGTATATAGCGTTAACAGAACGTATCTTCAGCCATACCTAAGTATTAATAGAATTTACAAATAACATTTTTTAAATAACCTAAAATACCAACATTATAAAAGTAGAAACTAACATTCGAGCCTTAAAAAATTAAACAACCAACCTAACTGAAATTTTATCTACAAACTAAGGATTGTTTGAACCGCGTCCAACTTAGTTGCAAAGGCTTACAGATATAATCCCAATGTATATATACCCTCCCTATTCCGGCTGTTTTGCATCGGCTTTTGTTGTTGCTGTGTTGGATCATTGGCTGCTCCAACCACATCCATTGACCGCTACACTCGCGCTTGATTCAGGTTATACACCGGTACATTGTGGAAGTTAATACCGCTATACAGCGTGCTGCTCACAGATTTGCCATTCGTGTGCAGATGGTTCTTCGGAAATGAAGATATCGACTTTGTAGTTGTGGAGGAAGTTGGCGTGGTTACCAGCCGACTTCGGTACGATTCGCACGTCTTTCGCGACCACACCCACATACCAGTCAAAGTGCCACCAGCTAACTGGAAAAATATTCTCAAGAGCGTCGTCCAGGCTTTGCGCTGTTCCGGGAGAGCACAATCTTCGTGGGTAGAGCAGGCAGGTACCGAGTCAATATAGCGCTCGAAAAACGATGTTATCACGCCAGCTATGGTGGGCATGAAGAAGAGCAGCGCAAATATAAGAAAGCGTTTCCGTATCTGCGAAAAGCGTTGATGCCCAAAAGTGGGTTTCATTTGTTGCTCAAGCGCGTGCAGCGATCTGGAGGCCCGAACAGTGAAGAAGATACCAAGCAACAAAAGCACCACGGCAGGGACCTCCACAAATCCGAAAGCCGTGCACATGCCTGTCAACTCGTTGGGGCGTACCTTTTCCATTAGTAGCGCGGCGATTGGTGGAGCAAGCGGTGGCACCCAGGCAAGAACATGAAATAGACCTGACTTCTTCTCAAGCGCCTCACTTGACCATTTCTGATGCGAGGAGAGGAAGAAACACAGCGCAAATATGAGCCACCAAGTGGCCGCGCACAAACTGAGGTAACTCGTTGTTATGTATGAAGCCAGGCAGGGCGGTGAGATGGTGCATGGTGGGCTGACTTTGCCTAGAGGATCCTCAAGCACCGCTAGTGTACGTGTAGAGTTGTGAAAGACTATGCGTTCCAGGTAGCAAACACTGAAGAGATTGTAGCAGAGACAAAGGAAGAGCACTGGACGTTCTGGGTACCCGAAACGTGTCGGTTCCGCCCAGAAAGTAACCAGCGAAAATAACGTCAAAACGAAGCAAACAGCGGAGAGACCTAATATGAGGCTTTCAGCGACTTTCTTTTGTTGAGTTGAATGAAACGCATCGCGGTTGCATTGAGGCACACACAGATCTGCATTTAACGGGTCGGCGGTGAAGTTGAGTGGGCAAATTGCTGTGGGCGCAATGGACTTGCTTAGATGTGGCGGCATTTTCCAAACAGACCAGGGCCAGTAAAATTGCGATGGTTGTTCGTAGTGCGCCTGCAGTGATGGCGGATGTGGCTGCAGACTGTCCTGCGATTTTTCGGACTCCTGTGGAATTTGCATACAAAGTTCGTGTTTCTCCGGCTGAGGTAAAGTGTCGCAGTTGAGAAAGTCGGGCCATAATTGCATAAGCTCCGTATGCGACTCGCACTCACTTTTTACATTCTCGCAGAGTTGTTTGCAGGCGGTGACGGGTCGCGGTACATCAGGTGTACAAAGTGGAAAGAGCGAAGAGCAGAGCAGGAAGCGAGCACGGTTAGAGCAAGTCGATTGGATGAGGGGCAGCAGCTTCGCCATCTGTAAAGAAAGAAAAAGCAGTTTGTTAGTATGGATGGAAAAGAAAATGGAATAAAAGCTAATGTATTTATGTAAAAAAATTTAAAGGTAAACCGAAGTTTAATAATTCATGTCTTTTATGATCCAGGCTCTGGCATCATAGTGCCGCGCTCAGATAAAGTAAAATAAAAGTATGGAAATATATCAGTTTTTATGCAGTTTGGCGGTACAACAGCACTTCAATGGAAGCAAGTAAGTGAGACAAGTAAACAGATGTAAAGGCTTAAGTATAGCACTAAAAAGTGGAGATTAAAAGCTTTAGGGTGCAAAGTGTGCAAAAAGCGAGCAGAGGCACAAAAAGCAAACCATTATTTACGCATCAAATTAGTGTAGCAGACAACAATGAAATGCTCAGTGAATCTTAGGAAAGGTAAACTCTGGAATATTGCTTTTTGTTTTGTTTAAATGCCAACACACATGGACATTGATTTTGAAGCTGCGCTCTAGATTGACGTGGACATGTGAGTGAAGCTGACGTTTGACGGAATTCGCGTATCTGAAAAATTTGTATGAGTTGGCCGTCAAGGCTGATGCGTTTTACGGAATTCACGTATCTGAAAAATGTGTATGAGTTGGCCGTCAAGGCTTATGCGTTTGGTAAAAAATTTAACAAGAAATTGTGTTAAGATTAAAAAATGTACTTCATACATTACATCTCAGGCTTTGGAACATCACATGCTGTGTTTTTAAAAGTTTGTAACAATTGTAAATCAACACATTCTGCCCTCATGAGATTCTTGTCTGAGTTGAACAATATCTTAATACTAAATATTTGTGTTTCATATTAAGAAAAGTGAATGAACAAGAAGTTGTTGACATGCGCACTAAGCACTCAAGTGGCACAACGGCTGCAACAACCAAAATATGCCCATTAATTCTCAAGCCGTCAAAAAAGAAATTTGTCCAAGATTATAAAAAACGTATGCATACGTGTAAATTGGCTAAAGACAAAGGAACGTGGGAAGATTTGGCGTAAAATGGCAGATTTAAATAGTGCTAGAAATCAACAAACTTTTCCGTAATTGGCATAGGTTAAAACATTTTTATAGTTCTTAACTAGATATTTACATCTCATAAAAAAATATTTTCATCTAATTCTTCCTTAATGAAATGAATTTTCTTTTTTTTTTAGATGCTTTTACTTAGATTATTTCACAACCATATGACTCTCATATAGGGACTCAATGTCCCTATCAATGCCACCTAATATTAATACTAACAACTTTGTTGGAAATATAAGCTCCCTTAAAAGCGGACAATCTATTACTTACAAGGATAAGGTAAGCTTTGAAACTCTACAAAAGATTTCCGTTCAAAATTATATCAAAGTACATATTTTATTAAATTCGAATTAAATTACTACTAATCCATCGCCGTCTGAGTTTTTGGCCTGTTTTTTATCCAATTAATAAAAAAAATGTCGGAGTTATTCGTCAGCTCTCTCGTTAAAGTGATTGCTCATATAGCCGTCAGGCAGTTAACCGAGATGCACATAGACTCGACCATCGAGAACAATGCCATTAAATATTCCCTATGTGTAAGTTCAATATGCATTGGATTTAATGGATCTTCAGAAACTATAACAGTCATACGGTTCCGTACGTCATGCGGACTGCGCCCCTCGTGCGGATGGGCGGGAATGGAGGGTAAAAACCGTTGGGATATTATTATTACTACAAACAGACCTATTTGAAACCCAGAAGGCTTAAGAAATCACTAGTTAAGTTTTTGCAATTTGCGTCCAAAAATCATATCCTATACAGCGAAGAGGAACTACATGAATACTCATTATATAGAAATACCACACTTCAAAGCCTGCTTAAAAATAAAACAAATTTACACTAATTATAATGTAAGCTATAGAATAGAAAAAGGGGAGCAAACACTTTGGCCGCACAAAGCGGCGGATGTCCACGGAATCAAAACGCTTTCATGTTGCCGCGCTTGAAAAATAAATGTGTTGATGCAATTAGCCCGCAAATCGCTGACGCGGAGTGAACAGCAAATGGCTGGCAGCCAACTGACTACAACCACTTTTTCGCCATAAAATTACTTTTTATTGAATTCATGAGAATAAAAATACTAAAACTAATATACAAAGTGACTATGGAAGTGGTGCGGCGCGCGTTAGGCCTTTTTTGTTGTTAGTCACAAGCGACTATTGAATGGAAACACCATTTGAAAAAGAAATAGCTAACATGAGTAGAAAAAGTAGAAATGTTTAGCGCCACACACAGGCATACTTTGGCAGGCACAGACGTGCCTCATCTCTACATATGTATGTTTGTAGGTGTTTTCAAAGTTCGACTATCAAAGTCATAGTGGGAAAATGTACGGCAATGTAGTGAACGCGCAGACAGTGCTACCTAACATCAAAGTATGCCGCCCAGCGCGCACTCAGCTAAGCAAATAAACACACTTGCTAATGGTGGGTAGTAGAAAAAAAGTATAAAAGCAGACTGGTAAATAAGATATCTAATGTCTTAGAAATATCGTTAGAGATTCATAAACAATTACATTGCTACTAATGTAAATAAATATGTGATGATGGCAATGCAAGTTTTTGAAGTAAAGCTGTATGATTACATTGGGCCTCATGCATAAAAAGTGAGCTTAAGCTCCGACTCGATTTTCAGTACAAATTCTTGAGCTTGAGCTCACCCTTTCAGTGCAAAAATTGAGTCTGAGCTTAAGCTCACTTTTTATGCATAAGGCCCATTATTACAACGTTACAACGCTTTTATCAACTTGCAATGTTGCGTTCTTTAAATAAAATTAATTGATGCTCGTTTGTATGTACATACATATGTAAATGCATGTGTGTGCACCT